TCGCCACCGCCTAACACGTAAGGCAAATATTCTCATGAATATAACTCTCGAGACTAGAATAAATCCTCTCATAACACCCTCTTATGGGTAAAAGACTATTTTAACTCTCTCTTGGCCCAAAGGCCACATCGCTGACCAAACCCTAAAAGTCAACGACCAACCCTTGGTCGAAATCAAAGTCCTCAGTCTAAGTCAACCCTTGACTGACCCTACTCACCGAGTCAACTCTGTGACTCGTCGAGTTCCCATAATCAGAACTTCATTCAATCTGCGACCTAACTCGCCGAGTCACCCCGAGACTCGCCGAGTCCAACAACTCTGAGTCCACTCGCACTCAACTCACCGATTCTCGACTCTACCAGAGAATATTTGGGACTCTTCGACAAGACTCACCGAGTCCAAATGGACTCGTCGAGTCCAAGGCTATCTTCAACCTACTCGCCGAGTTGTTCTTCCAACTCATCGAGTTCCAGGCCATCTGCAACCAACTCGTCGAGTCGACCCATGTGACTCGCCGAGTACCACCGTTCTGAATCCATTCAGAAGCACTCCATGCCATGCAATTGATCCAAAACGTAGATCTAGCCTCCTACAACCCATCCATCACGTAAAGTGGCAAACTTTACGTGAATCCAAAGAGATCTAAGCCGTTTGCACATTGGGCTAGGATTTGGGACAAGATGACTCCATCAACCACTCACAAACAGGGGCTTTCATGCACTCTAGACCTTCTCCCTTCCAGATCTGAGGTAGCAACCTCAGATCTAACCTCTAAACTCCAATACATCCAAAGATGTGATATCCAACATCCCCAAAATGATGCATCTAAGAAATAGCAGCTAAAAAAACGAGATATTACCTCAAAGGAATGCCCTAATTGAAATGAGACTCGAATTCAAACAAAGACCCTTGCTCCAAGCCTTCAATCTCCCAAAATTCCTTCACAAATACATTCTCCAAGCTCCAATCCATCCAAATATGGTGCTTCTTCGTGATTTAGGGTTTTCTGGGGCTCAAGGGGTGATAAAGAGGCTGGGAGGGAAACATAATGATCTTTATATAAGGCTCAACCCTGAGAATTAGGGTTTTCTCCACTCAGCGTCTACTCGCCGAGTCGGCCACTTAACACGCGACCAAGTCGCGACTCTACTCGCCGAGTCCGCACATGGACTCGCCGAGTCACTCTTTCCCAATTAACTCTTTTAGCCCTTCAACTCTACTCTTGATATTTCGGGATGTTACATAATTCTCGACCGATCTTAAATTTAACAGTAGGAGGAAATTATATTGTTAAATGTCTGCGTAAAATTCATAACTTCTACATACGGACTCCGTTTTCATCTGTCTTTTTATAATTGAGTTCCTATTAATGAGATCTTCAACTCTCATTTAGTTTGCATAGGCCAAAAGCCACTCAAACTAAAATTCTATTTTCGAGACGTGCACTGCTATGCCAAATCTTAGAAAATTCATGACTTTCTCATACGAAGTCAGATTTTGGTGTTCTTTTTTTGTATGTTCTCGGTTTAACGTATAATAAAACTCTTTTTAGATCACTAAGGATGAAAAGTCCTCTATCGTAAATTCACTATTTATGTCTCCTGGTACTGTGCCGATTTTGCCGAAAAACTTCGACTGGCCATAACTTCTTCGTTATAACTCGGATTTCGACGTTCTTTATATGTACGGAACCCTTAAGACATATTCTAAAACTTGGTTAAGATTATTTATTCTAAATAATATTTTGTATAAAAGTCATTTTCGATCCCTATTATCTCTAAATTGACTAGCCCAGATCTACAAGCATTACAAATTATTTCTCACTCACATAGGTTATGGAGAAGAATACAAAGCCAAAAAGTTCAAGAAATCAGCGGTTTTAGGGATTTGGACAGTCCAGATGCACTTCATTGTCAGAGTTCTATTTACTAAACATGGTGGTAACGACACCTTAAGCAAAGACTGGTTATGCTTCGTTTACAGTATCTTTTCCGGCAAAAGCGACATATTAGATCTTCCAGAGGTATTGAGGCAAGACTTTTGGATGTTTACCATCAATAAGAAGCCCAATGAAATTTCAAGTCCAAGGTTTTGGGCTCTGATGATTCAAGAACTCTATCGTTAATGGAATGAAACAATTCCCCTCAACACAATTCCGAGAGTGGTATTTGCTTCTTTTAAAACTATTAGAAATTACCTTATTCCGGACCAAATGTCTCTTAGACCAATTAGAAGGTTACCAGAACAAATGTTGGTCGTCCTACCTTCTGATTCAATTCATCTGAAACATCGCAAGGAGAACTCGATTGTGTATAGCACTACATAATCTACCCCAATCCCCATTGAGCCCACTCCGGAAGTGGCCAAGCCTATTCCCTTATGCGGTAAGAAAAAGAAGTCTGCTAAGCGAAAGACTTCACCCTCTCAACCCAAGGCCAAAAAGAGAACCAAAGTTGGTTCTTCCTCTCATCAGGAAAGAACTAAAGACATTTCGGCTAACTCTGGCCATCCTCTAAACTCACTTGCCCACTCTTCCAAAGTACCCCTTCGGAGTTTCAATAACACATGCACACACCCATGGGGAGTCTCCACATAATACACCCTCACCTTTGCAAGAAGGTGTTGTTGGTGTTGAATAAAGTTCCTTGCACCCCCTGGAACAAACCTACGTGTCACTTTGGAAATCCAAGTTCTTTCTACACAGGCATGGTCCAAGATCTCTGTTCTAGAACACAAGCATTCCGAGACTGGAGTTGTCCCTCCAACCTCAGGTGCCTCAACTAGTCTGATACCCAGCAAGGGTGCAGGATGACCAGGAGTTAAAGATCCTTTGTGGGAATATTTAATTGATATGGATCATACAAGGTATCCAGAAATTACCAGACCTCAAGACGAAGCAACTCTCATCTCTATGAGAAACGGGGCCATCCAATGCAACCTTGTTAGTCCCCAAATATGGATCCAATTCAATAATCAATGAAGCAAATAATAATCAAAATGAAGTGTAGAAGGAGTAGAAAAGAGATAACATCAAGCATGCACACATCTATATCATAAATGTCAAGTACACCTTGAGAAGTACACACACTGCACTGTTCAGCAACAAGTACAATCTGACACAAACCTGCCCCTATAAACAGTACCCTCACCAGCACACGAGTGTGTAGCAATACACGCGTGTGTGGCCACACACACTGTGTGCGGCCGCACACACGAGTGAGGATGCACACATACACTAAGTCTAACCACCATACTGCATTACATACACTTCCACCCTAATCAGATCTATACAAAATTAATGCCTAGCTCAAACCACAATATTATAGACCATCAATCTCCCCCTTTGTTTCAGGCTAGCATAGACTTGATCTTCATTTAGTTGGCTTCTCAAACAGCCTCAGATTTGATCTTCCCATGGAGCCCATCCACATCCTTTCGTTAATGATTGTGGCGACCATTGAAGTAAACTCTTTAGTAGCCGCCTCGATAACCTCTTTTCTACATATAATCTGGTGATGAGACAGAGTGCGGATATCCCTTTCCCTAAACCGAAGAAGATCTTTAGCACTTATCAACCTCAAGACTTGTTCTCGATCCTTGAATTTTATAGCAGCAGTGGCAGTTTCGTCATTGTAAGCCCATAATTCCATTTTATCAAGATATCCCTCATGGAAGTGTTGAGGGATAGGAATTTCCTTATGTTGTTTAGTTGCAGGCCAAAGTATGATGTTCATAGGCTCGCCTGATTCTGGATGTAGAATTTCTTGGTCTTTTTGGTACAAGGCTCTTGCAGTCTTCATCATTGGAAAGTTTTCCTTGACCTATTTGTCAAGAAATCTTTTGAAGTTAGAGGCACTGGGATCTTCCGAGGGATTATGGAATGGAGATCTCGATAGTTCAGCAATATCCACTTTGGTCCATGAGTTAAAATCATGGGTGCTCTTGTAATACTCAGGATTTCATGAGTTCCTTTTCACAACCCACAAATTTGTTTCAGGATCAAAGGCCCACATTCGAATTCCTAATCTATCTCCGTACTCATCACCAAATTTTCTTTTCTTGAGATCAGTAACTGTTAGCACTGGGTCTTTGGCTTTGCGATTCTCATTTGAATTCTTCATGAAGAGTAACCCTTCTCTTTTGTTGGCTGATACGGTTCTCTTTCCATGTTTGATTCTTATTTGGGCTCTATTTCCTTCTGGATCCTTTTCAAATCTATTAACAATAGAGATTGTTCTAGGAGTAGGTGGATCAACTGGAAAGTCTTCAGAGACATACTGTGTGGGGGCTGTGGGAGGATCATCGATTCCGTGTGGCTGTTGAAAAAGGGCTTTGACTTTTTCACCAAATGCGTCATACATAACGTTCTTTAGATTGAAGTAGCTAGCAGTCACTGAACCAACGTTCTGTAGATCTTTAATCTGTTTTGTCTTCTCCTCATCCTTTGCTCTAAGCTCTTCAATGTAAGAAGTGAGTTGATCCATCTGAATGGTCTTCTCAGTGAGTTCCTGTCGAAGTACTCCAATTTCTTCTTGAAGTTCAGACGAAGAAGATTTATCATCACCTGTGTGCTCCTCTCTAAATGATATTCCTTTGCCATGAGAAGAGGTTGGGTTGTTTTGGGTCAGGTGTTTTGCCAGTCTTATTGAAGCTTCGTCTAATGAAGGTCTGGTGGGAGAATATTCTAGAATGGATGATGAGCCGCCTTTTTCAAACATAGTTCTCAGGCTTTCATCAGTTTGTGTTGGAGAGTAAGCAGTGGTAGCAGTGATAGTGGAGAAAACTTGATGTGCACTACCCACAATGGGTACCTCCAGACTCGCAATTGATTGACTTGTTTCCATAGAGGATTGAGAGGTCTGGGGCTAAGCTGAATCAGGAACAATTAGAGCAGAAGTTGAGATAGTTGACACAGAGGGAGGAATCTCTAACATCACATCTCCTTGACTTAATGCAAATTCCATGGGCTTGGACGTGGAGAATAAAATTTTGAGAGCATTTCATTCTTCCCTAGTCATGGTTGCCGAAGAGGCAACTTCATTGAATTTATTAAGGTAGCTGTTGGGGAATCCTGGAAGAGGACCAAATTCTTCATCATTAAGATCAAGCTCAATGTCTGTCGGGATATCATCACTGAACCTTGTGAACTCAATTTCCTTCAAAAATTCTACATCACCATAGAGATCATCATCATCATCATCCTCATGAGCAGATTTAGTTTCATCCTCCTGGTGATGATCATGTTCCTCCACCACTGTGGCTGTAGGAGAATCATGAATTTCCTCAAATTCTGGTTTAGAGGTTGAATGCACAATGTCTTCAGACTCCGTAGGGATGGATTGATCTTCTGATTTCGACCGATCACTTTCTTCAAAAATTCTAAATTTGATCAAGGGGAACTTTCCTTCAAAGACGAATTTTCCACCTCTCTTCTGTTTCATTAGCCCGAAAGCACTTGGACCAACGGATTTAAGATCCAAAGTTTCGTTTCCTCTTCGCAGCTTGGGATGCATCACATTGAAGATGATTTGCAGAAATCTTGGGTACATCAAAATTTTATCTCTCTTATTCCCCTCAAGATTTAGAACCAGCTCATTCATTATAAACTTCGAGAAGTTGAACTCAATTCCTGCAGCCAAGGCTGTGATTGCTCCAGTGTTAGCCGAGGAGATTTCATTTGCACCGGATCTCCTGCCAGAAATACAGCTCACAAACACATGAGCTAGATACTTCCAACAAGGAGGAAGCAATTTCTTGATGATAGGGGAAAAGTTCCCTCATACCCCATATGGTCTAAAATATCCTGGATTTGATAAATATTAATTTCCATGGAAAATTCTGATCTATCATCGATATGGAGTGATTCCCGAATGATATTCTCTAACACTTGAACTTTCATTCCTTCAATTGTAGCTTCAATGAATTTTCCATCCTTGTTGTCCTTCTTTACAACTGCGCTTCTCCAGAAGTCTTTGATAAGTCTTTGGTAAATTGTAGGACAGGTTGTTAATGCATGGAACAGGCAACACTTCTTCAAACCATCAACAATAAACTTTAAATCATTGTGAGCTGCAGGAGGATCTTCAAGGAAAATGGTTGAGTTGTGAACCTTGGCAAATTCCAGGTCTCCCATCTTAATCTGAAAAGAAACACAAGCAATCATTAGGGCAAAAATAATTTTGATTATAATGGAGATTGTGTAACTGCACATGAAAGTGCACACAGTCGCACACGTGCAAGTGTGCAGCCGCAACCGCACACGCTCAGCTGTTCACAATTCAGTGTAGCCGCACACGGTTCAGCCGCACACGACCGTCTGCGGTCGTAGACGAAATGTTTGTTCCTTTGATTAAACAGCAAACAATGATCGATTTTTCTTGAAAAAATTGTTATGAGAGTCGCATTCATGAGAATTACCAGAAATGTGCTTCCATTTCAAGAGATGTGATGGAATATTCAAAGTTTATATATATATATATATATATATATATATATATATATATATATATATATATATATATATATAGAGAGAGAGAGAGAGAGAGAGAGATAGTTGTGTGCGGTTGAGATTAAAAGTCTAAAATTTATTATTCCTAAAGATTTTAAAAATAAAACTAAAAGTAAACTTAAAAATAAGATAAAAATAAAAATAAAAATAAAAATAAAATAAAATAAAATGGAAATACTAATAACGAAAAATATTAAATTTAATTTTAATCCAATAAATTGTTTTAACCTTTTGAGATGAGGGATCAAAATTGTTAGACAATCGTTGTTCATTTATTAGTTCCTTATCCTTCATGAATAGATCTGGTCGATCGTCGGTATTGTAGTCCACTTAAACACGAAAAATTTGTGACAAATTTTGGACATGCTATAAGTGATAAGACAAATTGACCATAAGTTACTAGATAAAAATTCCTAAGGACCATCTATCTGACGACGACCAAGGATATTGTTGTACACCTAAATTGAGCAACAAGATCTACAGACAATCTACAATTATTCAATATTAGATGTACTAGAACATGTTTCCCGCTTCCTGATATACCCCAATAATTAAGAACTTCCGAGATACTCCTTACTATAGGTGAGCAGATTATTATTCATAGAGAGGATAGATTTGGATTATAACTAATTATATTATTAGAGGGATTGGGAAGTAGAAGGTTTCATATGCTGTGTACCAGGTCGGATTATTAATCGTGCAAAGGAGACAACATATGGCTAACAGATAGGAAGAGTTTCATAGATTCAATATGTAGAGAAATAGATTTGCATACGTTGCATTCCAGGTCAGATCTCTTCCAATCACGTAAAGGAGGCAACATATGACTAACAGTAAGAAAGAAAGAAAATAATTTTCTACAGACCTACTTTATTGGAATTCCCTAGTCGCTCCGTCAATACCGGAATTAAGGACATAATCCGTACATCGAGGAAAAGTTAAACCACAGTTCTATATACGGGTTTTCTTAATGTGACTAGTGGATTCTCATGTATATCTCCCTGCTCAACCTATCTGAGCGTCGTATTGTTAGACTAAACGAAACTATCTAGGTCAAGATTTATCAAGTCTCTAGATTCCTTAAGTTCATGTGCACCTAGTCAAGTCCATTAAAATCCTTCGTGCCTACCAGCGCATCGAACACAGAGCCTAGACAATCCAGTTTTGGTACTTTACACAGACTCAGATTGCCCGTTATCACTTGATAATATCACTTCCCAAATCATATCATGGAACACAGAAATATATATATATATATATATATATATATATATATATATATATATATATATATATATATATATATATATATATATATATATATATATATACACTAAATTTTTAATTTTCTAATGTTTTTGGATTTTCAAATTTTTAATGTTTTTGGATTTTTGATTTTTCTCTGCCTAAATTTGTGCATAAAATAAAAGAAAAAAATTGCGCAAATTTATCCTAAACTAAACACTAAAAAAAATTAATCCTCGAAACGGATCATTTACAGAAAATTAACCAACACATCGAATCGAGCTTTGTTAAACGGCTTGGTGAACAGATCCGCTACATTATTATCAGAGCGGACCTGTTCTAGCCGAATGAGCGAACGCTCATAACATTCTCTGATAAAATGAATTTTGATGTCGATGTGCTTGGTTTTTGAGTGTTGGATTGGGTTTTTGGCAATTTGGATCACAACCTCATTATCACAGAAAAGAGGGGTTTCTTGAAAATTCAAACCGTAGTCCAACAACTGATGTTGGATCCTGATGACTTGAGAACAACATGCAGATGCGGCGACATACTCTGCTTCTGCTGTTGAGGTGGAAACGGTATGCTGCTTCTTGCACTGCCATGAGACCAATCTATCTCCCAGAAATTGGCATCCTCCTGAAGTTGATTTTCTGTCAAGCGCACACCTGCCATAGTTGTTGTCTGCAAAAGAATAAAGGTCAAATTCTTGATTTTTCGGATACCAAAGACCCAGTTTTGGGCAACCTTTGAGGTACCGAAAAATCCATTTAACAGCAAGTAAATGAGAGAGTTTAGGATTAGCCTGGTAGCGAGCATATTGACAGACCACAAACATTACGTCTGGGCGACTGGCAGTCAGATACATGAGGGATCCGATCATTGATCGATAGTGTGTCTGATCTACGGATTCACCTTCAAGATCACGAGTCGGTAGAGGTCTTTCCGCCATGGGTGTAAGAGTAGGCTTCGCATCTCGGAACCCGAACTTCTCCAGCACATCATCCACATACTTGTCTTGGTGAATAAGGATTCCAGTTGAAGATTATTGGACCTGAAGCCCCATAAACATGGTCATTTCCCTAATTGAATTCATCTCGAACCGCTTCTTCATCACTGCTCCGAACTCTTTGCAAAGTTGTTGGCTTGTCGATCCGAAAATAATGTCAACCACATAGATTTGAATAAGAATTTGATCCAAACCGACATGTTTAATAAATAAGGTTTGATCAATGGTGCCTTGGGAATAGTCATGGTTGAGCAAATGCTTAGTTACGGTATCATACCAAGCTCTAGGAGCTTGATGCAGGCCATACAGAGCTTTGTCTAACTTGTAATCATGGTTGGGAAGCTTTGAATTAACGAAACCGGGTGGTTGGTCTATGTAAATCTCCTCCTTGAACTTGTCGTACAAGAAAGCCGTCTTGACGTCCATTTGGTATACGGTGAAGTTCATATAGGAAGCATATGCAAGGAAGATACGAATGGCTTCCAAGCGAGCGACCGGAGCATAAACTTCTGTATAATCAAGACCCTCAACTTGCCGAAACTCACGAACCACTAATCTCACCTTGTTACGTACAATGATGCCTGAGTCGTCTTGCTTGTTCCGAAAGATCCATCTGGTGTCAAGAGATTTTTTTCCTTTTGGCAGCTCCACCAACTTCCAAACCCCGAGTTTTTCGAATTGATTAAGTTCCTCATGTATGGCGTCAAACCAGCTGGGCTCATTCAGAGCCATTTCGACATTTTTGGCTCAATCTGAGAAATAAATCAAGAGTAGACACACGTATTAACATCTCCACTTTGACTTCGCATTTGAACACCGTCGCCCAGCTGGCCAATGACGTTCTCTATTGGATGATCGCGCTGAATGCGTGCAGAGATCTCGTAGCTGATATCATTAACAGAGACTGGAAGAGTATGAATGTTAACCGCTCCATCATTTGTTGTGTGGTCCACATTAGATGAACAAGGTTCATTCGGAGGATCTGCTACAAACTCTTCATCAATACTTTCTGGAAAGAGAAGTTCCATCAGATTTGAAGTTACAGTGGAAGTCTCGTGGTTCATGTACTCTCTTTCTACCGGTGTTAGAGGAGTAGCAGTAGCATCAGGAGAAGGTCGTTGAGGAGAAGACTCAGAAGAATCAGTGTGAACAGATGGCACTATTACAAGATCAGAAGAAACCAGTGGTGGTCCGTAGACAACTTCATCTTCTTCATCTTCAATAGTAATCTTTGAATTTGACGAAGATCCTGCTTGATTATTTGAGGACACATTGAATGATTTGAAAAGAGATGTGTAGTCAAATAGCCAATCGGGACCTACTCTTGCATCTGTCTCATTTTCTTCGAGCCAACGAACATCGAAAGATTCTACTATCTGTTTTGTCTTCTTATTGTAAACCCTGTAGGCAGTTTGAGCAGCATATCCAACAAAGTAATAGTCATCGACTTTTGCGTTGAATTTGGGGTTTGATTCCAAGTGGAGATGGGTGCAAGGGCATCCAAATACTCGGAAATGGATGACAGATGGCTTGTGTCCGTATAGAATTTCATACGGTGTCTTCATTCTGGCTTTGTTGATCAGCAAGCGATTTTGAACATAGCATGTCGTGTTAATCGCCTCCGCCCAAAAAAACACAGGAAGTTTGGAATCACAGAGCATTGCCCTTGCGGTGTCTTT